TCTTAATAATATTACTCTTAATTTTCCTGTTTTCGACTTCTTTCGTCTGATGCTTCTGTCACTTCCCGCTGGTAAACTGTCTGATTTCGAAAACACCAGTGTATGTTTCGCATTAAGTTCATTGCTGTTAGGCCAGTTTAAGATGTGATGGATCCGAGTCTTCGTAAGTTGAAAAATATATTAGCCCTGAAGTTTTTTTATAGTTGCTTCGAGGTGTTTTAATCGTTTCCTTCGTTTCCGCAGTTCCGGAACGTTGAGATTCCTTAACTTACTGGCTATATCCACGGGAGTCGAAAATTTATATTACTAAGGTAGCTGTTTAGGTATTGAGTAGTGTCCATCACAAGGAATTATGTCTGGAGTTAGTATTGATAATGGATAATAATAGTTGTTTCGGGACGATGATGCCACTGATGTAGTCTTCAGGCTCATTCATTTTCGATTTTTTGTCACTTATTGTTTATTCTTATGGTTCATTCTCTCTCAGCACTTCAGTGTCTCTCGGTGCCGCCGTCTTTCACTGTCCGACGAATCAGAGATTCGTTCACTGATGCTTTCGCCGTTTCAGTATTATCTGGGACACTATGAAACCTTTTTTTGCCCTATGGGACTATGGTACCTTTTTTGTCTGCCACGTAAATATGGTCTGGCTGTTCCTGCTGACCAGTTCTTCATTTTAGTCATTCAGCGTGTGGCCAGTCTATGTGCTTACTGTTTAAATGGGCAGTTGTATTGCATGCTGATTAATTTCCTCAGTTTTATTTACGCCTTAAGTTTCTTCAGTAGTTTTTAGATTTTTTTCGATGCTCTCTCTTAACCAAGTGCATTATCTTGCCTCGCGTATTGCGTAGTTGTGCAAGAGATCTGATTCTAACACCAAAGGTGCGGGATTCAATTCCGCTCGAGGGAAATCTTAGTCCTCATGTACGAATTCCCTTGAGCAAGGAGTTTACCACACGTTGCTTCATATCAATATTATTCAGTCAGCAGATTGTCGAATTCAGAACTGATAGATCCTGAATCACTCATTTTCTCACGCATTCATGCCCTGGCTGGAGTCACTCATTTTCTTCCTTGCACAGTTAGTGAATGAGTTCCACCCTGTGGGAACGAAACAGGAGACTACACGCTACGCATTCCGCATGGCTCTGTCTTTAAAATATGTCACTCTATGGCTGATGGCACTGAAACGTTGATCAACACTGCAGAAGAACTTCGTGAATAAAAGGACGCCGAAATGGCCAAATGATGAAAATAAACGAATACCAACATTCCAAAGTCGACCAACTATCTTTTTCTTTTCTATCGGTCCATGTAATATTCTTGCGATTTTCGTCACTGTAAAGGGTTTGTGAGATTAGTCCTCTTCGAGAGTTTGAATTTGTACAGCTAAGGATTTCATGCAGTGGTTTATATTCAGTGAACCCAGTGAGACCCTATAACACAGGAATGTCTTTTGCCACTTTTTTATTGCTGTTTCTGAGAACTGTATCAGACCTGTTTTGATGTTTTAAGGTTTGAGACTGATGAATCTAGTTGTATGGCACTGGTTCAAATGCCGCATGTTCTTGATCCACGCCACAACCCTAATGGTCTTTTTCATTGTTATTGCGGCAAAACGAAAATATCCCAGAAAACTTTCTTCACTGTCAGTTCCCTTTAGCAAGGAATTCCCTCCACGTTGCTTTCGTGTAACCAGCCGACAAGCGAGTAGCGGGTCGTTGAATTACAAATATTGGCAGTATGGCATCCTCGTTTGGTCATACCACAAAAGGCAGGAAGTACGCCATGTTGTCTGATGTGAGCCTCTCATCGGAATGTAGTCCTCCTTCACCCACTTGTTAACTGATCGTCCAACACACTAATCATCACAGAGTGTGAACCATGTTGTTGTTAATGCTGATTAATCAGAAAATTCTTTTGAATTAAAACAAAATTTGCATATTGGTAATATACAGCATACAACTGTTTGTTGGTAACAGAAACTCATTGGAAATATGGGATTTAAAAAAAATTAATCCCTTCCTCATATCACTAGTTTTTGTCCTGAATATTTCGATATAAAACGGGTGAAAAAATGTTAATTAAATTCGTTCATCCACCGATTTTTTCTGTCACCTAATTTTCCTGAGTTAAAATGATGCTGGTTTATACTCATGTGTTTTTCGGCAATAGGTGGTATGCATCGAGAGGCAGGGCTGTTTTTCATCGCATAGAGTGGACATTGTCCT